TAACAAAAGAATTTTAAAATAGAACAATAAAAAWAGAGAAACACCGGACCTATTAAGCTCGTGGGGGGRAGTGGGGGGSCTACCAGCCTACCTGCCTGATAAATTTCATTCATGATCAGACGTCCTCTTTGTTGCTCTTGRCCCCCGCTACTCCATGTCGAATACATATAATTTTTTTCCATTAGTGGGATTTCTTTATCATCAAAAAGCGCAAACTTTGAAGTTGATTACTTTTCCAASGTTCAAGCTTACCCAAGGCTGTTTTTTAAACTACGAATTAGAATCGTTTTAAAACATATGTATATATATCAGGAAACAGATAGACAGGCTTATTGATTTCAAGGGAGCTAGGAGATTCGACTTAGTGGCAGTAAAAACAGGTAAGTCAATTCTTTCAAGTTTTCTTCCATTCCCTTTTCGCGTTTTGAAGATCTCATAAACACTTTCTATCTTTGCAAAAATTCCTCAAGCAGTTTTGACTATCGATAAAGGAAAACAACAACTTAGCTTTGTACTCATCGATTTATTTTTGTAATTGATCACTGACTCTATGTATGTCTATATAGCTTTATCAAAATCAGTTGTGGATAATAGTATAGAGTGTATAAGGAAAGKTCTTTTCCTTAACTTTGCGGTTTATAATCCATGGCAGCTCGATCCATTCATAGAGGGAAAATTGATTACTTTGAAGCGATTTTGCTTGCTGCAAAAGTAGAATAAGGGCTAAAAGTAAAAATAAAAAACAACAACAACAAAAAAAAGCAACAACAACAACAAAACAAATTCAGATGAAAGTGAAGACTTTGTGTATGAGATTGGTGTTGATGATTGTTAGTATGTTTGATAAAATAATTATTCCATTCATGACCATATGTGCAAGATTATTCTCATCAAGATAGTAGTACTAAACTCATCAATTTTCAAGGTGGAAGTGAAGCTGTTACATTTTTTTGTTGGTTTGTTGGTTGGTTCGATTCTTTTAACAAATATAAAGAACGTTATCATTGAAATAAATGCTCATTTTTCATTTAGATGTGTAACAGTTTTTATTTTATGCTGGTGATTGGTTCTCTACAAAAAAAAAAAAAACATTGAGAAGAAATTGCATGGCCCAGCCCTTAAGTGGTGCATGATATTTTGTAATGTTTTTCCTATCCCCCCAGTCCCCTATACTTTATGATCAGTCCCTAAAGGGGTCAACCTAAACAGCATGCAATGYGGTCATGACTTGAATTTCTAATACCATACAGAGATCTTACCACAACCAGAAGAAAGCATGAAAAAATGCAAWAAATCTACAAATTACAATTTTCTGCGGTTTGCTGAGTCCGAATTCCCAAAAGGCTCCAAACTTTATTATGTAAACATTGGTAGAATTAATTATAGAAACGTTGGGCTGCCTGTGGTTTGTCTGTCATCTTGGTTTTGTTCCATTCTTGTACCTAGAACGACAAAGTTACAAAGTTACAAAGTAAGCTGCATACAGATAGATACGTTGATACTTAGAATAATTGAATTTAATCACTTGCACTCAAATCTTAACTTACTTCCATAAAAGAACCTTTTAGGGTTAAATTTTAAGTTAGGTCGTTATCAGTTGAGTAGCTGTATTTGCATATTTTGTCCTCATTACACGGCTTTTACATGGCATATTACCTACGAAAATATCTATGTCTCCAAGTAAAGTTAAGGCTCTTAAGAATCGCTTAAGGCGCGGTTCATATACACATCGAGCCAGCGCCGCGCCGAACCAAATAGTCAATTGGTGTCGACCCAAATACATTTGGTACGTCTTTGATTCATACGTCGAACCAAATGCAGTCAAAAGCATAAGAAAAGGTGCGATAACACGCAATTTACATCCATTATTATTCTCGATAAAAAGATAGTTTTGTGCGTTAAGCTTGGGCATGACGATAGCTCGATGTTTGAATCGGCGTCGAGCTTTTGCCATGCAGTACGACTGGTGCTGCCGTGCCATTGCCGTGCTACGGTCACACCGAACTCAATTGATTCATACGTCGAGCTTTTCATGTGCTGAATTCACACTTTGGTTCGGCGCGACGCTGGCTCGACGTATGAATCAGGCCTAAGAGCGCTTTTTAAATAAAAGATCTAGCTTTTGTCAGTGACGTGGTATGATGTGAATTTATAAAAGAGTTATCTGTCACACATATAAAGGTTTTTAAGTCAGTCATAAGCACTTAGTGCACAATACCTGTTTTGTTGAATCAATAATGACATATTTGCTAGCTTTGGAATTGTTAAGATTGCATGATCACGATCATAATCATGTATCCAACCCAGACGTCCTCAAAAGCACTTTAGGWATAGCTGATAATACTTCTAAAAGCACAAATAATTGATGAGACTGTCGCATGAGTTTAGCTAGATTTTATTTTAGCCAAATAGTTTTTATGAACGTTTTTTTATGTCTATATTCCTCTATGAAAAGTTGAAGCTTGACTTTGTCTTTTAAGATAAGTTATTTGATTAACAAAACTTCACTAAAAGTAGTTGAAGCACCCCTATCGCTTCGATCGAAGCAGGATATTAGATCAGTCCATTAACGATTTTAATGTTTTTTTAACACCCTAGTATGCAATAAAGGATGTTTCTTTTAGAGAGCAGTTTGGTCAATACCTACAGCTGGATATGAGCTCTGAAGATGAATATGAACCCTTTTGTCATATTTTCCTTTTCAAGTGTCATTTAATATTTACGAGCAATTGCAATTTAAAACCGTGAGAGGACAACTTTTGGCCCTGAAGTGCTCTGATATATATTACTTCTAAATAATAAACTCTACCGAAAAACATCTAGGTTTGTCATTTAAAGACATTTTGAGCGTCTGTTTATTAATGTATTGATTTGTAAGGTAGCTGGTATAGTGGTACTATACTGAATTCAAATAACCTTGTCATCGTTTTGCTCAAAGTATACCATATTAATCGGACTTGGGACTTTTAGTTTTCTCAAATACTAATCATATTTGTCAAATGTGTTAAATTACACCGGTTATTCGTATCAAAGCCCATGTTTTGGCACTAAAACACTGTATACTCATAATATTTGMTTTCCCATGCTCACTTTCGGTCGTAGCATTGATGATGTAATCTCTTGGAACCCGGCAGCGTTTTTTCAGTTAGTTGTATATCGAAATTAAACCTTTAATTACTCTTCAAACTGAAAAATAAGTGGAATAACCTTAAATGAGGATAGCGTTCAAAAAATACAACGATTTGCAATCTCATTTAGCAAAATAAGTAGCATAACAATATATAAAGGACACTTTTATACTTATACCAAATCAGAACTTTTCCAACCTCATTTTAAGAACTTTTAAAAAATGTATAAGCGGCTTATCTCTTAATACGTTCTACATTAAAAAAAATAAAAAATTCTAGACAAAACGAAGAAGAAGATTCAATWAGACAAACACAAAAAAGCGATGTCGCAATTTTCAATTAATGTGGCTTCCTATAGTTTTTTTTCGACCATCTCCCTCCTTTTAAATTCGCTTTTTGAAAATCTTGCCATGAGCCGATTTAATTGGTGTTTGGACCAGTAATAAAGCATTTATCAAAGTTTTGTATGGCATTATATGTAGCTCCATCAACGTTACTTAGGCAACGGAAATCGCATTTTTGTCAAAATTCGTTTTTGCCATATATCTAAAAAAATTGATGAGATCCAGAAAAGCGGTAGACATCATCATTAGCTACAAACTATTGTACAACGTTTTGGAATAGTTGAAAAAAAAAAATCATCTATTCGATTTCGAGTAATATTGACAAATATTTGATGGATTTGATTTTTGAGATATTTGGCGAATTTCGACAAAATGCTGGTCCAAACACCAAATAAGTCGGTGCATGGCAAGATTCTCAAAAAACGGAATTTAAAAGGAGAGGTATTGTCGAAAAAAAACTATAGGAAGCCACCTTAAATATATGGGTTTTTTTAGTCGAAAACCGATAACATGGTGTGAATGCTTTTTATTTTTTTTTTTATTTTTCATAGAAATCACTTAAGGTCAGACAGACTCGTATCAAAATTTTACGCGTTTAAAAAATATAGCCTACTTGATCACAAGATTATCGCCTTAAGGTGTAAAGGGAAGTCGAATATCAAAATCGCCTAAAGATATCGAAATCAGAACAACTTTTTTTCGACGCGCAGATATTTGAGAAAGTGATTATCCAAGTATCACCTAAAAATGCTTGACACTACCCAAAATTAATGGATGTGCCTTCTGATATTGTTCCATGATTGATGCGCAATCAAAATAAAATTAGAACCAAAAAGCTCTCCGCGATCTTGAGAAGTTTTCTTTACGAGTGGTCAGTCAAATACTGGAATAACTGTCATAGCTAAAAGGATCGGTCATGGTCATCTCATAATCTCATAAAGAGCTTCAAACAATATACGTATTTTAGCTCTAATAATAAAGGAAAATCCCAACAAGGCAAGCAATGATGTCTAGTGCTATCTYATATGCTGTCACCTTGTCRCAACTAAGATACTGAGCAAACAACTGAGCATGCGCAAACTTTGACATGCTGACAACTTTCCTTTTAAAACGGTTTTTTTTACTAATGTTGTAATCTCTGATCTATCAAATGATTCAATGGAAATGAAATCTACTTCAAATCTTAAAACTCTCGGTAGTAGTTAAGACGTTTTTTGTTATGTCTTTGATCAAAGTATTTGCGTTCTTTTCAAAAAGCAGTATATTAGAGTAAAGAARCAGYCTAGTTCTAAACAAACACAATCAGAAAACAACGGATATAATCCAGTCTCAATTCCGGACCACCTCAGGCTCTTTCAGTTCCATAAAACTGGATTGATTGATTTTAACAATTTTGAATCAATATATGTCGCAAACATCCGTAATTTGAAAAGAGACCGCCAAAATCAGTATTAAATGTCTTAGTTTACTTTATAAAAGCGCTATYATCAACAGAAAAATCATTAATGTTCAGTTTTTTGTGTTACAGAGAGGCTGTCCGCGATGAACCAGACTCATTCAGGAGCTTCCTTACCTCGTCCTACTGAGAGATATTTCGCCGTTTGTGTAACSGCAATATTGATACCATTGATTCTGGTTGGTAACGTCCTTGTTATCATATCTTACAAGATAAACCGTCGACTTAGAACACGAACCAATACATTTCTCATAAGCCTCGCCGTCTCAGACATGATTGTTGGTGGAGTGAATTTACCAATGTGGGTTTTCTGTATGGTTGAATACACCAATTGCATGTCATCACCCTATTATAACWTGGTGTTCAAATTCTTGGATCGATTTGGCGCSTTTGCGTCTATTTTTCATCTAACCTCCATCAGCGTTGAACGATACATTGCTGTGGTACGACCWTACTTGTTTYATCGTTTRCCTGAGAGATTCTTCTTTGGTGCGTCAGCATTTGCTTGGATCATTGCAATGGTGCTTGCATCACTGTCGTGGCTTGGAAATTCCCATACGATTCGCTACAATACGGCGGTTTTCGCTATTGGGTTTGTACTTCCTGCTRCAATCGTTCTTTCAATGTACGTTGGGATATTCAGATCCGCYAGGGCACTATTGAGGAGAACACCAGTGCTGTATACAGAACAAAAGCCTAGCAACCATATCCGTGAAGACCAGAAAGTTGCTGTAACCGTTGCTGTTATCAGTGGACTATTCATTATAGCATGGCTACCATTTTTTCTTTTGTCAATCATTGTGTCATATTGTTCAGCGCGTGTGTGCCTCCCTAAAACTCAAGCTGACATTTTTCGACTGGTAACGGCAGTAAAATGGCTACACTACAGTAATAGTGGTGTAAATCCTATAGTTTAYGCCCGTAGAGATGAAGAATGGAAAAAGACTTTTAAACGCATCCTCTGTATCAGAGATTCAGGCTCAGAGATTTCTTCTCTTAGAAACTTGAACTCAACAAGAACATCGTCTATAACATGAGCCGCAACTTTGATGAATTCACACCTCAATGGAGGAAAAAAAWACCGGGTAGAAACTAAAAAAAGCTTAMATTTTCAAGCTCGCATTGATTGGAAKTATTGGRACTTTGCATYATAGATACAAGCCGAAGACAATAGAAACACTATCTTAGATGATGTCAWATAGAAACTTTTTTGCATTTTCCACTTTAGTTTATAGAACATATCATCTAACCTTTTTAACCCTTACAAAATTTATCCTATTATGATGTTTTCCTGGAAATTGGTTGAGAAACCATATGCACATAATATGATGTTCAGTCTAAAATTTGTCTAGTCTCAATTCCTACTTATTCTTAAGTAGATAATCTATCTGTACAATGTTTGAACTTAATTAGGTATGTATGTATAAGATCTTTCCTTCCTGGCATTTTCCACTTGTCCCAATATGTTTCTATTTGTTTTTAAGTTGCTGTAATTTCAGGCTCTTCTTGTCGGTAMCCAATTTCCTCAGATATTTTCTTTCTCTTTCTATGCATACAGTCAATSAGATTAGGGTTATGCAGTTGTAAAGACGTAAAGCAACAACGTCATTTGTCATTTTCATAAAAATGTTTTTAAWATTCCTTGGATGAGGATTTCATTTGAAAACTGAAGATAAAYAGCACATCAGTGGCATTGACATTGCAAAGACAGTTTACAGCATGTATATTTTGTGAAAACTAGGATAAAAAAAAGGGAAAATAAAAAAATAAAAAATGTRATGTATGCAAAATGACTCTGTTGTTGTCTTTACTCCTTACAACTAATAAATGTCAATGGATTGATTGTATTCTTTCTGATTCAGTCGAATAATTGCAGCTGAAATTTGATCTCTTTCGACTTCACTATTATTTTTAGCTAACTGTTAAGCCATATTCATCAGTTTTCATGATTATTGCCCTTCTCCCTGCTCTTAGTTCTGGCTTAACTTCTGGCTATATTCATTCACAAAACAAGAAAAAAATTGAACTGTTTATAAGTAAGAAAAAAAAAGCCAACATCCAAAAAGCATGCTATTACTAGATGAAATACACTCGTAGACAAAATAAACGAAGTTCAATTTCCCGATAGGGATTAAGATCTTCTAAAACGGTTGATGATATTGCCAATTAAGTAGCAATAAAAACTCGTATACCACCATGACTGCGCGTTCATTGCTTCATTAAATGGTTTCCCTTTAATTGAGTTATGCTTTTATAAGACCGCATGSATAGTGGGATTCATAAAATAACCGAATAACATGTAGAATTGTGTTTAAATAAATAGCAACCCCAAACCCACGATTCTGTAAAAAAACCCGAAAAAACCGGCAAACAGAAATTTATACAAAATGGGTGTTGCACATACACCGTTAAAATTATGTGTTGAAAATATACCAAATGTACTTCCTCAAAAACCGTCTTCAAACCCATTTATTTCAAAAAAACGTTGTCGGGGAGAACGGCGAAAGACGTTTGTCAAAGGGAGAATGCACGACCGAAAGGGACTATGGTTACACTGTTTTGACAAACGAAACTTCACTTATAGGATTCACCTTGCACCCTCACATTCGCCATAATTTATCCGACAACATTTTTTTGAAATAGGTATATAACTTATGATTGTTGTTATTTCTACACATTGGCTCACAGTGGTTTAGTGCTGTTTATATTCTGGGTGATTTGAGAAAATGCGACTAGCCAATCAGCGCAAAGCTGATGACCGAAACGATTCGTGGGTTTTGCTAAGTGATGGAAAACAATAGCTAATTCTTATACCATAAGGAACCGTAAGATAGTCTGTGGTAAACATTGGCGTCATTTTCAATGAGCAAGGTGAACCCAGCAAGAATTTTTGTATAAATTATAAAACCCGTAGTCCAATGGTCAGGTACCGTTTGGTATTGTCTCCAACAGCTTTTTTTCAGATGAAATAGTCCACACATTACCAAACATCCCAATAAAAAAGTACATATATTCTGAAGCTGATCGACGTAGACTCAAACTAAATATACATCATTGATAGTATCAGAAAGATATTCACATTTAATTAAGCACCAATTTTTGTCTGTGCTTCTTTGAAAATTCTGAACTATCAAGATTTTTCACCGTGCAGCAATTATTATATTAAAAAATTATAAAAATGCGATTTGTCATGGGATTTARTTCTGACCGCTATAAGTAAGTCGCAAATTATGTCGTTAGTCGAAATTATCACTCACAAGTGATACAGACCCTATAAGTAAAAACTCAACAACGAAAAAACAAAAATCAAAACATCTCAAAGAGCGTTTTTTAGGCGGATGAATTGAGAGTCAGTAATATAGTTTTACAAGACTTGAGGTCTCCAACCCCTCCTGGTTTCTTAATGTGTTCTTGAAATTGTACTAGAAATCTAGATCTTGCTATATAGTGTACTACAATGAAAATATCAGTTCCGTGCCCTTAGGTGCTCTTTTCATGTCCTTAATGGTGTAAACGTGTATAATTGTTATGCGATCAAAATTGAGCTAAAAAATAAAAAGACCTAAAAATGTTTATAGTAAGYGCATCAACATCTAAATGGAAACAGAAATATGATAATTCGTTGCGCGCTGTTGTTTGTAGTCTCATCATCGTGCTGTTTCGCACCGAGTTAATAAGGCCTTTATCGAGCTTCTCCACTTCTCCCGGTTCGCTGCCACTGCCCTCGCTTCCTCCCATGTTCCAAATCCTAGTAGCTCCCTTTCCTTTAACTGTCCGATGCCATGTTGTTTTCGGCCTGTTTGCAGTCTAGAATATGTAATATTGTAATAGTCAATGTTCAGCGACGCCATTTTGTGCAGCAAAGGATGATGGTAGTTGTAGTCCTCTCACTTTTATATGTCAGATATAATAGCCCTCCTTAACAGTTTTTGCTTTTTCTTTGCGACATTAGAAGTATTTGTGCCGYTTCTAAAAAGAAAATGTAAAAACGGCTTTTAAGGAGATATTTTAGGGACTATGAAAAAGTGCGAGGACTACAACTACCATCATGCTTTGCTGCAGAAAATGGCGTCGCTGCACAATGCCTATTGAACTTAAATTGCAAATAATCACTAATCTCAGTCAATACAATTTATATATGTAAAAAAAACCATCTCATTTGGGTAGTGTTTTGGAGTAATAATTATATTCCCAKTGATAAACATAAGCTTTTTAAAGAGTTTTTCTCTGTCGGTATATTTGAATTCGTACTACTTCCCCTTCGACATAAGTTTGCCATAATTCAAAATGGCGGCCGGTTTAGTATTGACACTTCRCAATCATATTTCATAAAAACACTCTCACACTCCAAATAAACGAAAGTATCGAGTTCGTAGTTAAAAACATTTCTACATGAAGTGCCTAAGTGTCTCTTAAATAAATACAGCTATGTCGCTCTTCCTAAAAGACTAGTGAATAGTCGATCTATTAAAGTGCATATAACGCCTGATAAAATAATTGCTGTAAACTGATTCTGTATAAAATAAATAATTGAATGGTAAAATACAGGAAGTTCCTACATTTCAGTGTTGCGTCTTTGAGTWTTGAAGGTTTAATCTTACAATATGATAATGGTAATGACGTCAAGGGAGGCTTCATTAGAAATACGAACTTTTATTGAACCTTCAAAGACACAACATTGAAATGCAGGAATATTTTACCATTCAATTATTCACTTTATATAGAATCAGCTCACAGAGAATCAGAAGTTATTTTCTGTCTTCATAGGAACTTTAAAGATTTTACTTTTATAGCCATCTTTAATTCCCCGTCTCATCGCTTMTTGTTTCCATCGCACTGCCAGKTATTTCCCTTATGCATCCTTTCAACCGTACGTGAGATTAGACTAGCAAGTAAAAATAGATAACGATGATGTTTGCAATGGCAAAACACTCAAAACGTATAATAATGTTGACCTGGGGAGTGCAGGCACAAAGTCCCTTTCATCATCAACGCCATCTGGCATCAAGTGGTCTTCGAGTGCATTGTTCTTCGCCAAAGTTGGCTTGCTTCCCATGAGGACAATTCGAACTCGAAAACATAGATATAAAACATCTTGCAATAGGTAAACAACAGCTTAACAGACAACAGAACTATCTTCATACTACGGTATATACCTAAATATAGGCAGCCAAACACGCGCGCTACCTCAACAATGAATGGTTATGAGTGGTTCACACAGTTTTGATCGAGGTAAATAAGCCTGCGAAACGAGTTGAAATAAATCTCTCGTATCAACTCGGAGAGAATTTTACTCATAACTATGCCCAATACAAAACAAAAAAAAAGAGAGAAAAAAAAATGCCCAATACAAGGTCTTCAAGTGAGGGAACCAGCAGACAAACTTAAATTACATGACATTTGTGTTCGGACTTGGAAACGAACCAGTGGACCACATTAGTCTAGACAGCTTCCCTTTCCCCTTAACCTAAACTCTTTTGGCTCCTTTTACTTTGGTAAATAAGTAAGTGTGTGTGCCAAAAGATACGTGCAGTTTCAACAGCTGATTTCCGAGATTCGAGGCGCCTTCAAATATAAAGTATAAATGTTCAGTGACTGATCAAAACGAGGAATGTAGACTTCCTCGAGAAAAGATGTGCGAGCGTCCGCCTACTGAACACCGCCCCAAGATACCTCAGGCGCGCGCCTACGCATCTTGGGAATCGTCTATATACACCCACAGTCAACACAGTCTTGAGTCTGAAAAGAATCTCGGGATTTCCATAAGTAATTAATATCATAGTTAATAGAGGGGACTATGTTAACTATGTTAATATACAGTATTCAAAATATATGTTCCTATGTGGTTTGAATTMAATGGCGGCAAGCACTACTAATATACTATTGCGGGTATTAAACCCATCGAACAAGGCTCACCATGAGACATTTTCCTTGAAGGATGTTCCACGTTTTCAAACCGTCAATTAGCTTCAAAGCTATATTTGCAACAAGACCGGGAATTTTGAAAAAACGGAAAGTGAATATATACTAATTATATAGGGCAATCCCTATCTTTGCAGCCTCAAGACCGTGAACTGTGTCCTGTCTTCGACAACGTTTTTTGAAATAGGTGTATATCGATGAGATTCAGGCGGCATTTTTAGAAACTTGAAAAGAAAACATTTAAAGACAGAATAACCGCCATTGAATTTCTAGATAGCAAGTGTTTTTTTTWTCTTGAAAAATGTTGTGTAATTAGGTAAACGATTCTTTGAAAAACAGTTCGTGCCGCATCCAAGCGGTTGAATCTAAAAACAATGGAAAAATAAAAATGTTGCACCCAAACAAACTATCCTACAAAAACTCCTGCTGGTCTCACATACCATATACATGCCAAACAGTCGAATATGATACTATATCTAMCATTACAAACTATAGAGAAATGTCACCGGAATTTCAAACGAAAAAAAGGCTCGGAAAATCTCCTGACTCATCATGACATTAAAATAGGTCTTTGTAATTCATTTTAAACCATTGTTTAATCAGATGTTCTGTTTTCTTGCTAAAATTCTAAAACAAACACCCAAACATTAAAGAATTAGCTTACAGCAGATAATTCTTCATGCACGTTTTGAAGAATTTGAAGTTCACACGTTCACACATCAGCTTTAGACTCCCCGCAGCCGTTTTCCGATGTCGTCTCCATTATCCTCCTCCACAAACGCCGTTTCAATGTGGGGGAGGATAAGGAGACGACACTGGAAAACGGCTGCGGGGAGTCTACATCAGCTTCCATCAGCTTAGGCTGGAGCCGAAATTACTAGTCGAAATCAAACAGATTTCTTCTTAAAAAGTTGGACTTGCAATAGCGAATACAAAGTGTTATTTAAAAATGGAGGATGGCTGACAACGAACACACATTCAATATACTGAATAAAGAGATTTCCGTTTGCGGGAATTTTTTTCAGATGAAAAGCTGCCTTGTTAAGCCGCCTCATTCAGATTATTGTATTTCGGTAACTTGCTCAAAAATTAATTTACATTKTCATACTTTTTAGGCCTGAAAAGGTGGTCAGTTAGCCAACGTAATCAGCACAAATGGGTCCTCCCTATTGTTTTTGTAATGCTCTGACGTTTTTGATTCCATTTGCCACTTTTYTATTGCGGTATGGACATAAGTATAAGGATTAGCTAAATGAAATTGCGAGGTATAGAAAATTAACCTTTTCGGCATAAACTCAAGAATATATAAGCCGATGCAGAAAACAGGGTCACGCTAACATAACCTTGAATTTATCATAAAATAGCAGATTATGCATGAATAAGCTTTAATAAACATAATTTGCGATCTGTTTTAGCGAGAAAATGAGCGAAAATCACATGATATTGCCCACAATGCACCCGGTATAATAATGATATATGCTTGGCGGACAGAATTTGAAAAAAACTACTGTAATAATGCTATATCATTATTCATTATTATTTATTTGTTTTATGTGATCATCTATGAAATGCCTATATTTCTCACTAATTTTTAAAACTACGTTTACACAATCCGTATCTCTACACACCCATGTATATTATTGTGAATACCAAACTGATTACTTTTACTCTTATCACAATTTAAAAAGATGAGTTATTTGAACCGATAGACTCCATTCAGTGCATCAGTAGCCGAAGGGCACTCCATTCTCAATAAATATAAATAATCATGCAAATGCATCGCCTGTTTTAAAATAAATAAAAAAAACACGAGCGGTCAGTTAATAAAAATATACGAATATACAGACGAGGGGAACTAGATTTTCATATCGCGTGTGTCAGACGTCTTACTCTAAAAAGTGTGGATAATTCAATTAAAGCAATCGATTGGTAGCGATTGATCCAATTGTGACGTTTCGGAAGTCGTCTAATTGGTCATCTTTTTTCTGCACGTAAGCCAGAAGAACGAAGTTCCTTCGTTCCAGAAGTCTGATATCACACAGCAACGGTTTGATGAAAAGAAAAAAAATATCCCCAAGGAATTATTACTTGATGACTCATGATGACGCACATGCATTAGCCAATCACGTAGCTTGAAATTATATTAAGCACACAGACTATGTGTCCGAAGGTGTGTGACTTATAACGAGGAAATAGCCTCCGGGGTTTTTTTTAATAGCGTTTTCAATACGCACGCTATTCGTGACTTTGTAAATAGACGCGGAGTTTAACACGATATTGCAGTAAGCATTAAAATCTATTATACTTGAGAAGTGGATATCGAAGTTCGTCTTCTTSCTCTGCGCTTAGTGTTCACTATTAGCTACTATTGGTTCGAGAACGTCTAACGAGCCTGTAAACGTTGGTTACTAGGTGTACATTAGATGACAAACGGAAAGAAAAAACATTCAAAAATGGCAACTAATTTAAACATCGTCAATGRCACGTCTGACAGGCAACGACACCTTTATCAAACTCAGCTGAATTTTGTCAGTAAATTTCTGGCACTCACTACTTTGTGGTCCATTATTCTCTTAGAAACCTCCATCTTTGACACTGAGCTCAACTCAAAAAATAAAATTAAAAATAATTGCATGAAAAAATGTTGAAATGCATCGAATTCTGGGTGTGTGTTCATTTGTAAGTCAAGCAATTATCCACTGTTGGATACGAGTAAAATAAACTAAGCTTCGACGAGCCGCGGCGATAATGTAYCTAACCAACAATTCATGCCACAAAATGGGGTCATTTTTATAACAATATTGAATTGAAATGACATTTTAGATGTGAGAATTAAGATTTTATCCTTTGACAAACCAGCATATGAATTAAAACACACAAATTAACGCCAAGAAACACCATTATCATGTCATTGTAGTTTTGTGTGTGTGTAAGGAGCTCAAAAAACAAACAAAAACACGCGTAGGCTGAAATGTTTTTATCATTTTGAAGTCATTCGACTTTATCTTCAGTAAACGAAAGTCATATTCTGATRAGACATGAATAATTTATAATTTACAGGCTTTAGTAAAAAAAATAAGTCGAGAAGAGAAAATATGCTTGCCAACTGGCAAGTCTTAGTTGTCCTTTCTTCCCATTTTTTGACATCATTTGAATGCAGTTCTCTTTCTGGATCTGCTGTGCCTTTGTTTTGCTTTTCAAAACAAGACAATACAGAATATTAATTATCAAGATATTTCAACGATAAAAAAACATGTTTTTCGCTGAAAAAAAGAACAACATATTGCTTGGAGAGCAAACCGATTTTATCAGGACATTCTGAGTATAAATATTTTTCGCAGTAATCGTAAATCAATACGAAGCTTTTTGCATATCGATCGAAATTTTATATTGTTTTCATATTTTTTTCTAGTAGCCTTTTAAGGCTAAAGTTAAACGTCCAAAAAACCCACTCAAAACAAACAATTGATAACTCTGCAGCTAGAAAAATATAGACAAAAACACTTTTACAGAATTTAGCAATCTGATATTCTGATCTTGAATTTTAGACTAGGATCTGGCTTAAATAAAATCCTACGTACTGTCCATGCATATCACTCTCGATGATGGTACGTCTTACGATAATCACTTTTTTTTTCGAAAGGGTAGTATTCACGATCAGRAGGAACAAACATGTCAAGGTCATAACTGATCGCCAATGCATTAACTACAGCTAGGATATTTAATATCCAGAATTTAGGCTGGGTTTCTCTGAGACAGTGTGATATCGTTGCGAGCGCAAGTGTCTTTGCGTGCTATTAATTACATCCTCKGACCGGAAATTCGTCATTATTTGGTATATGCAGGTTCATATAAGGACAGTTAAGGAGAGTCAACACAAAGCTTCGCTTGAACAGCAAGAGAACAGGATCAGAAAACCGCGGTCTCACTAAATTAGACCTTTTATAAAGATTTTCAAAAGCATGTAATTTGGACCTTCAACGACAGGAGTCTAGTAATTCCCAATTCCATTTTCACCTAGAAACGACAACACGGTAATTTTGCAAGTGCTTGATTGGATACTTGTTATCTTTAGTGATAATTTATAACTGCATGGCAACACGCACCGTCGCACTGTCTATGCGATCGGTTTCTCTAGACATCTCCCGCGGAAGAGAAGCATTACAGTTGATCTTTTTTTGCACAGTATGTTTCCAGCCTGACGCGGCTTGACCTTCTTGAAAAAGATTATCGATTTACAGTCTCTGGTAAATAYATTAACATACTCTTAGTGTTTAAGGGACTGGAATATCATATTCTACCGGACTAGACTCTTGCTCTAACGATGGTCACGACGACATCTTTCAGCACCAGCATCATTGGAAATGCGTCCCAAAACAATTCTAGCGCAGATCGCAACGAGAATAACAAATCCCAAGTTGTCGAACAATATCTTCAAGTCACATTTTTAGTGATRCTTTTACTTGTAATAATCATTGGTAACGCTCTTGTCATGATTGCTTACAAAGTCAACCGACGTCTACGCACGGGAACGTACACTTTACTGGCGAGCCTTGCCTTTTGTGACTTTCTTGTAGGTAGCGTATCGCTGCCAATGTGGATCTACGTGACGCTGAATACTTGGTATGTGGATCCTACATTCAATTCTGTCTTTAAAGGAATCGATTATGTTACGGCCATTTGTTCTTCTCTGCATCTGACGATCATTTGCCTTGAACGGTGGTTAGCTATCTCAAAGCCATTTCTTCACCAGACACTTACAAACAAACAATATTACATAACATTGGGAACTGTGTGGATTGTGGCTTTGATAATTGGCAYTATTTTCAACATGAAGGACACAAAGATCTATGCTCTGKTCKTAGTTTTACTGGTATTTATTACWCCTRTGGTCATCATAAGCCTTGTGAACATTTACATCTTCAAAGTGGCAAAGAAACTTATCCAAGAAGAGCCAACAGGGAATCCTGGATCGCGCAACGAAAAAAGGAAAAAAGTTCAAAGGGARAGGAGRACRGCAATGACTCTTGTCATCATMACTTGTTTATTTTTCCTATCACTTCTACCCACGTATACAATAGCACTTGTTGGAGGATTTTGCTTAGAAGAATGTTTCTTTCAAAACGGGTTAAAGTGGCCTGAGATCTTTCGTCTCATGACTGTTGCAAAATGGATGCAGTACAGTAATAGTGGGGTGAATCCGTTTATTTACGCTTTTAGAGATGCCGAAATGAGGCGAACTTTTCACAGGATATCTTGTAGGGCGATGTCTTTAAGACCATTCTCTACGGTGGCGAATTTCGCGAGTCAGTCTGATATCAACTTGGGTAATCATGTTAGCCGAGCCATGACACAAGCATAAAGGAGACGTATTCGGTATTTTCAGACCAAAAAATATATATAAGAGGAAGAGAAGATAACTGACATTTAGGGAAATTGGACCATATGTGCATATGTCATATGTACAATTCTTTATATCATGCATAATAACATATGGCTTTGCATGATAAAAACAAAGCGTGGTTTTGTTTATCAAGTAAACCATAAAAAGACATAAAAACTACAGTCCAAAACGATCATCCAATTATGGTTTGGGGTAAAAACGGCTGCTTAAATCGTGGCAGTCTTTTAAATTCAGCTTCAATAACTTGAATTGACAACTGAATTGATCAGTGAAACAAGCTACATCAGACTTCTACATGCATTTTCCATATTCATAGCAGACAAGCCGGAAAAAATAGCTTAGCCACCAGGAAGAAAAGATTAAAATAATTGACTCGATGGCTATCCATCACCATGGTTACAAGGGTAAAATCCTCAAAAATAACGTTTGTGTTTCAATTTGAAATGAGTCGGTAAACCTCATGGATTAAATTTTTTCGAGTGTCTTAAACCGCAATGAAACTTCTTAGTAAACCRCCGCTATGGGCTCGAAATCACATCACAGAATGAATGCATTTCTAGCAAGGAATATGATAAAATTCGACCATAACATATAGATATAGTTGCCAAGTAATTATAAAAAAATAAATGCAAGTAGAATTAAAGTAAAAGTTGCTATAAAAAAGCAACCCTGAAATATAGTAATAATTAAGACATTGTTTATTTTAGCGTAAACAGTTTTCGTGTCTTCACGGCGTGCGTGAGATAAACTGTTCCTGCTCTGTCTAGAATAMACAGGACAGCAGATAACTTTGTATTCATTTTATATAATTACAACTATAGCTTCGGGTAGATTGTAATCTTGTGTTTATGTATGTTAAGAATAAAAAAATATTTGATTTATTCTTTTTGACTGAAACTGAGGCCATTTTTCACATCTTTCTATATAAATGGACCATCTCAGACAAACGGAAAAAAAAGATTCTAAATCCATAATTGAGATATCCGATTAACAAAAACAAATCTTCCTTATGTTTAAAACAAAAAGAACGACTAAATAGTGGATTATAAATCCTTAGTGCTTTAATCCAATATATATACTAAGGTTAAAATGTTTTTTTTCCTGCATAAACCTTCTTCCGCTATAATCAATCATTTTAGAGCAGTTTTCCTTAAATCACCGTGTGTGCTAGTAAATGGTGACCTTGATATATCAGGGAAATCTTCATTTTGGCCATCTCAAAACGCTCAGATTCTTGAAAAGCTCACACCTTTTAGATCATAATTAAAAATAGAAATGAAGTTTATTTCCAAGTGTACTTTGCTCAATGATTGTATCATATTGAAAGTGATTGACGTATGTTAAGAAATCTTTCTTTTCTGTCGGCTTATTCCTCAGTCATTTTTTGTTCTGGAACAAGAAGTACCTGAAAAAATCTTTCGAATAGCGGCCTGAGTACTCAACTCTGTGTTAATGAAAAGAATTAATAAAGCCAAAACGCAACATCCATGAAAAATCAATTTTTTCGGTAGCACTAACAAAAACAGCCAAAACGCAACATCCATGAAAAATCAATTTTTTCGGTAGCTGTAACAAAAACAAATTAAAACAGTCTTTTGATAAACACAAACATTATATAGAAAGTCATAGATAGCTTGTCTAAGTGAAACATAAAATATAATGTGGCGTTATTGAAAAATCGGAAGCAAAAGGGGAAATACTGATAAGAAATTATAAGCTTTTTCAAAAGGAAGACATCAAGCTTACGCGATGGAAATATGGTGGAAATGCCAAGATTAATCTTGTCCGATTATATCTTGTATTATAGACATAATACGAGCATAGTCAAACCATAATCTAAACCATTGGAAATCCGAACACTTTTTCAAACATCCATTAAGTTTATTRTAGGAAAGTCTATTATCAAAATAAAATGTCTCTCCGCATGCTGTCTGAACTAAACCTTTCTTGTTACCAAACCCACGGGCAATTGATGAGTGGGGGCGCGAAGTATTAATGTAATTACACTTTTTTCCTTGTACATTATTAAAAGAAAAGCTATTGAGATATCAAGGGTTCTGGCATGCAATCCTAAATATAACAAAACAACGAAAATGACTCGACGCTAAGATAAATCATTATTGAAGTAATTTGAAGTACTTTGAGTTGAATCAGGTGGAAATATAACATAAACTCCACCAAACATAGAGAGATAGACTGGAAGTGCCGAAAAAAGTAGCCATTAAAAAGAATATACYAAAAGAATCAAAATAAAGGCATGGTAAAAATTTTAGATATACCATGCATCAACAGGGCAAAATCTTCAAATCTAAATGAAAAGAAAAGGMAGRRGATTRTTATCCATCAATCTACCTGATAATAAGGCATACTAGACAGCGCTTCGCCTTTCGAGAGRAGACGGTTAGTGATGTCAAAGCTCAGACGCCCACAACATGTACTCTCCTATTATATGTTAAAATAATAAACGGCCTAATGAAGTTGTGTTCCTCGGCTGATTCAAAGAAAACCGAAAACCTGATGTTTATTCGCTGTTTTAAATCCATRTTTATAACATTTTTGATATATTGAACGCGCGCTCTGTTTTGCTAACGACCTTGTTACTCACTATATCAGACGGACAGACACACGAGCGCCGTTTTATATTTCTTAAATAGAATAACTGCGAATATCTTAGTATATTGTTTATAAATACCATTTTCTTAAAAGCATCTATGAAATATCGTTTTAAGAGAATAATTGAAAGTCGTTCGGCAAACACCAAATTTCTTTAATCATTTACAGTTTGAACTTTGGTAAGACAATGTGTTTGCCTTATGCGGCCGGATTGTTAATGAATTTGATAGGATCATTGCTAGCAGATATGATAATACTGCCTGATATRACTCTCTTTTTATGTTTTGACTAGTTATAATATAGATTAGGCGACATCTTGAGCAGTTCACTTGGTATTCCCCCGGCTGTCAAAGTTTGACATTATATTTTCGACGTTTTAATTTATTATTATTATGTATAAATCTACCATTAACYTTCAACAATTATGTATTAAATTAATACCTTAATATATATTAAAAAGATATTCTAATACGGAAGATGTCTGAAAAGCTATCATATCCGAAAAGAAGAGTGGAAATAGAACAGACCTTCATCGGTGGTAATAGAAGTTTTCCATTCATTCAGTCTAAGAAGATTTTCTCTTATCGATTAATACAACTAAGCATACTTGATGTATAAGACCACACGTACGCTATAGACAGCTAGAAGCACTTCATGATTTAAGGTAGCTATAATGGTTATCTGAGATTTTGATGACTTTCTAGACTAGAGTAATAAAARAACTTATAAAAAAAACAAGTCTGCAAGTTTTCTGTTATTTTTATGATTTTTTTCTCAAGAGAGTAGAACTTTTCTTATAGATACTCAAGCTTATCCAGCACGGTCATATATGGAGATTCAAATATATGGAAAACTATTGATGTAAACAGCTTGATTAGAGACAATAGTGTAGTTATGATAAGGCATAATGTTGAAGTTGGGGTTGCTTTCTCGTTTTTTCTAATGATATTTCTTGAAAATCTGTAAGTGATATTGTTGAAAGAAACGACGTGATGAGCATAAAAGCCCACGGATTTAAATCTTATATTGGTCATTATTATATATAGGTTAAAAAACAAGTGCGCGGTCTGTCATTGCGCACCAAAACCATTATCATATTCATTTCAGTTTTGATAAAACCTCGAAAAACATCAATTTGTTGTTTTAATATAATGAACGAAGTATTTATCGTCACTACGTCGGAACTCAATTGTTGTAGCCTGTTTTTCCAAGAACAGTTTAACACCAAATACTCAAAGACTTCCTATTTTCCATTTCGCATCGAGAACCAGCTAAGATGTTAAAAGCATTTAGTGTTAAATACATTGTGGTTGTGACACTAGAATGATTCTTTATTTGGTTACATGAATTTATAATTTAAGAATGAAATCGGATAAGAAATTTCTCCACGGAAGTACTTCTCGAGGAACACTTCCACCGGCTTTAATACGTAAGTCTTGAAGTGAACTATGTCGTGTTCTTTGTAATATGCTATCATTGGTCCACCAGTTCCCTCGGGAAACCCGCGAGTGATTGGAAAAACATCYAGTACTTCAAAACCTGCATCACACATAATCTTGGTTGAGAATGAATTGAACAGCTCAACTCTCTGAGAAGCAAATAGAGCGAGGTTAATATGATAAAAGTGAAAAATAAAATACATTTTGGAAGTCATTGATTTTGGTAATATACATGCATTATTATACTACCAATCCACTACTATTTTCTAAGAATATGCACAGGTTAATGGGGCAACTACCACCACAGTATAATTTCCTCGATTCAACTAATACTCTAACGGTTTGGAGTCATAGGAGGGCGCTCCATTTAACCAGTTGCATCGCGTCAATCGCTCTACATTCAACATAGTGGATTCTTAACCGTAAGCCCTAAAGAAAGCGAAAATATCATAGAAAAAAAACAAAGAAMAATCAAGAGAGCACGGCAAAATGTATTTTTTCTCCGGTTTTCGAGATTCTTCGATAAATCGTCATTTTYCCGCCATTTTGTTTTCTTTTACGATTATCCACTGACCTGAATTTTGTTTCACTTATACGATTAACGTTTGAACGAGCCCCAAAGGGACAAGAATTACCGAGGAGGCTCACCCTTTCGGGGCTCATTTTGCCTTGCCCCTCGATCTGAAACAATATAATGGGGTTATACTCACAGGCAAATTCAAAAACCTTTTTTGGTCAGAAAACAACAARCTATCTGTATCCTTTTCCTTGCTCAAAGATGTCGTTGTCTTCCAGATAATTTTTCCTTTCACGATATTTGATTTCAGCAGATAAACAACGTCTTTTAATAACGCCTGAAAACGAGTGAAGGAGATCCCTAGGACGTAGTGAAGCCCAAGATTAATTATCACAACACTGTTTTTATCCATGTCTGGTTCTTGAAGATCTTCTTTGATCCCTGAAAGCAGTTTTCCAGGATCAAAATCTAAGTCATCTTTTGGTGGCATTCCGCCCTCAAATCGATAGGTCCACAGTTTGACTACCTTGCATGATTTGAAGATTTCAGTGCAAATTGGGGAGTGCTGTATGGCCTGATACATCCTATCAGCTTGGGAATCGCCATAAATAAGAAGTGTACTGTAATTAAAGCGTTKACTTTGAGATTGCATTGGCTTTAAAGCTTTMTTTAAACCTGTAAGAAAATTGATTTTTTGAAGTTCAGGATTATTTAATATAGTGTCAAGTTTTGGCTTTATAGTCTGTTTTTTTTCTCTTAAATGACGAAGATCAAGTGCAGAGAGATCTAGACAAAACTCTTGCCTTTTGCCCTCAGCAAACTCCTATAGGTCTGGCGACATAAAGCAAGATGGCGACCATTGGACTCACTTTAGAAAAGATATTAAAGTCGATCAACACGCTCATTTCGCGATTGATTACATCTGATTGACGCTTGAAACCTCTCGGTGAACGCAACTATCATGCATTATAGCAAAACGCACATCATTCGCGCGGGATTCCTGTGCTTTTAAGTTTTGGCCTTCCCTTACAAAATCTAAGCTATAAATGGAGACAAACAAGATGGCCGATTGTTCAAAAGTGTTTTCGCTAAGATATCTGCAAGTTTCGGGCGACTTTATACAGTAAATGGCGTGTCCACAACGATACTTCCATATAAGGTAAGAAGACCATATATGGTTGCTTTGAAAAGTAGAAGTACTGAGCTTCAACAATGAATTGTTTTATGTACCTAAAAACTTTTATACTGACCTGTGAGATATGGAAACCATACATCGTTATCCCATCTACCATAGCCATCCCACATATAAGCACATTTAGACTGACACATGGGATCATATTGAGATTGAACACCATGTTGAGTGTGCATAAAGAAAAATCCTGTWAACATAAAGCATGCAGTGTTGACGAGTCGGCATTAATTGAGAACCTAGGCCAGAAGTTCCTCAGTGGCGGCGCAGCGATATTTTCAATTGGAGAGGGGGGAAGGCTGACCGCCCTTTTTTTAAGTGAGTTTGTGTATATTTGTGGAGGGGGCAGAGAGGCTGACATTTGTACATTCAATGTCTTATAACCAGTGTAGAGATACTTCACAACGCTGACGTTGACAACTTTTTGGAAAGCCTGGATGCACCTCCGCTGTTAACATTTATATGATAAAGGCTAAACGAAAGATATAGCTATACTAGCTATACTAGTTGCATTTTTCTCAACGCCACTATTGTAAACTGAGACATACACAACATTAAATGTTACCGAGCAACAAATACATATATTCTGAGGTCTCAAATTGTAAAGCTAAATGCTTCTATCCATATGCCTTGTGCTTCTTAATCTTTTGTCCCTATTACCTTCATGCTTTGGAAGTGGAATATTGATGAGAATTTCGCGGCCATCTTGAAACTTTTGCAACAAGTAGTCCTTCTTGGCGTGACCTCCTAGCAGCCCGTCTGGTTGCTGTTTTCCTTGTGCATTTCCTGAGATAAGAAAGAAAAAAAAAATGCACATTCTTGTTAATATTCTGAATTGAGTGTAAAATATAATGATGCGGTGTGTTTTTATTTATACTCTAGAAAAGTGTTTGAGGAGCGAAAAGTACTTTYAGCTATTCATCACCAGCACAATGATGCGACTTTGAAATGAAGAGCAAGAGATTAGAAGCTTTGAGAAACGAGGAGAAATCAGATTGACGCTCTATACGCTCGTGTTCCCGTCAAAACCCGCGTAAGAACGCCACGTGCAAAGTCTTTGTCTTTCTATTTTGGCATATATATTGCTATTTTTTTGACTATTACTATTTGACAAGCTCAAAATACTTTTAGTTTTCTTTTGTGTGTTGCCGTTGACAAGTCATAAAAATAATACAACAAATAAATAACAAATAATGTCTATATTTTTGATAATAAAATTTTTGATAGATAACGCTCGCTGTTATTGGCTGACGACCGTGCTCATATCAGAGGACAGAGACACGGCTTAGTGGCAAAGTTTGTTTTTCGCTCGAAAAACGCAGAAAATTTTTATAAAAGAACTTTAAAACGGCCGCTTGTGTCCTCTATAAACACGGTGGGATTTGAAAAGCACTCGAGAAGCAAGAGAAACACTCTCACGTACCGTGTTTATATCAGAGGTCAGAGACGCACACCGTTGTATATTTCTTAAATTAATTATGCTTAAACGGGCACTTTGTAGAGACCGGATCACCCGGACAATCACAATTTGTGTTGTTTTATAGATCCCGCTTACCTTTGATAAAAAAGTCATCCGGTGGATCTCTGTAACCATCACACAATGAATAATCCAATGTAATGTCCAGTTTATAAACCCCTGGATCAGCCATAAGAAATATCACTTCATATCGWCCATTTGCCAAGTCAAATATCGTTGGAACTACAGTCGATCGACCGCGAAGCGTAATTCTCCATGAATCACCTCCGATTGATTTATTTTGACCGTCTTTGGTTCGAGATTGAATTAAAAAACTGCTAAACTCACCAGCTGGGTTGATATCAAAGTTAATAATGTCACTCTTCGAAGCGTCTGTCGACAGAGCTTTTCTTTGATCATCATCTTTGCGAGAATTCCATGAAATATCAAAGTTACAAGGTTTCAATTTAGATTTCATATCTATCCTTTCGTTGCGGACTTTACACCAGTTTTCATGCAATTTCTGCAACTTCACGTCTGCAACTGATTTTTCCTTGAACGTCTCAGTATGTCTCTTCCCTTTTGCTATYAATATAGCAATAAAGAACAAAGCGAAAAAGAGTCTGCTGACGAGGTATATAACTGTCTTACTTTCGGCCATTTTGGTCGCGAAATATTGATTTGGTTTCTGAATAAAAATTATRCTTTGCGCTAAAGAATAACTCAGTTTATCTGACTAATGAATTGTGATTTGACTTTGTTTTGAGCGGTGTTCATCCGATCTCTAGGAAACCAAAATCGGGTCAGAAAAAATGCTTTCGTGGCTACGCATTGTATTAAAACAAGAAGTCGTCATAATGTTCTATTCAAAAAAAAAAAGATTTATATTTCTTAACTGTATTTTCAGAATATGTTACTACAGGAATTAATCAAAACCCATTAAAGAAAATGTTTCGAATGCAAAATCTGCTCGACTTAATTAACTCATTGATTCAGCAGTATTTCTATATCACTAGTTGCCATGCGCGCTTCCATGATCACTTTGGTGCTTTGTCACAGTTATATGAAACCTCTGCCCTAAAAAAATCCCCGATACATTCTAAATATATTGTTTTGATATTATCATACTCAACATGATAAGGTTCCTCTTAATATCGAATTATTTTCACAACGAAACGATGAGATTACTTTTTCTACAGTCTCATTTTTAGTTGCCTTCACGAATCGCTTAGTTTCTGAAGAAAATGTAAAATCGTAAAAAATCATTCATTTTTTAAAAAATTCATGGACTATAGCCCACCCAAATCCTCAAAAATCAATAATTTCTCATCAAAATGCACGGACTGTACTGTAGCCCCCCAAAATATATCACTGAATTTTTATCAAAATGCACGGTCTATAGACTACCAAAAATGACCCATTTTTTATCAAAATAGATTATAGCCCCAAAAATCGTCAAAGTCACTAATTTTTGATCAAAACGCATGGACTATACCCCACCAAAAAAGGCCAAAAATCGATTTTTGACCAAAATGCATTGACTCCAGCCAAACCGGCAAAATGGACAAAACTGACCAAAATGATCAAAATGCATCACATTCATCAAAAAATGCATAGGTTATAGTCCACCAAAATTGCCCAAAATCATCTATTTTTGCTTAAAATACATGGGCTATAGTCCACCAAAATGGCCCAAAATCATTTATTTTTGCTTAAAACGCATATGCTATAGCCCTCCAAAATGGTCAAAAATGACCGTTCTTTGATCAAAATACATGGACTATAGACCATCAAAATCGTCAAAATTGACCCATTTTTGATCAAAATGCAAGGACTATAGCCCACCAAAATGAACAAAAATGACAGTTTTTTTTATCAAAATGCATGGACTATAGCCTATCAAAATCGTAAAAATTGACCCATTTTTGATCAAGATGCATGGACTATAGACCATCAAAATCGTCAGAATTGAACCATTTTTGATCAAAATGCATGGACTATAGCCCATCAAAATCGTCAAAATTGAC